TTTGCTATATAAAGATGTGTGACGTTAGTTAAACCTCTGAATTTCAACTTCTTCTTTAAAATGGGGTTAATTATAGTTCCTTTGCAAGCTGGTTGTAAGATGACAGATGTTTCATGTGAAAATCTAGTACCTTGCCAGGCATGTATGTTTATGAAACAGATGGCCCTAGTACTATTATGGTTACTATTATTAATACTCTGCCCTCATATCAAACATAAATCATGCCATCAATTTTATAAAATACCAAACAATTGGATACTTGCAATCATTTACTACATATTTTTTTCAGTAAAACTTAAACCTTCCTATGGAACTGCAAGCATGTCAAACAGGTGGATTTTTTAGTAACAGGCAGCCCTTTATACTGAAACTGAGGCTTGATATTTAGCCCATTCATATTCCTGGTCACTGTTCTTTATTCCCTTTAAAAAGCACAAAAACCAGAAAAAAACACACACAAAAAAACACCAAAAACAAAAACAAAAAACCACCAAAAAGCCCTATAAGCTATTTCATTAACCAAGAGACATAGAAATAGTGAAGAACTAAAGAAACAAGAGTAGCATTTTAATAATATAGTTTTAAAAAGCAATAAAAAATGAATGAAAACCTTTAGTATGTCTTTCTCTTCCAAAGCTATTTAAAAATTGCTTTGGTTACTAGACTAAACAGCATTAGTTCCATTATTATACTAAAGGAAAATTTATTTAAATGTTACAAATAAGACCTAAATGCACTATTTGGTCTCTTAATTGGCATCAGATTGCTTCTTATTTAATTATACTTGAGTGTAGTAAAACTTTTTGCTGGACAAATATAAATTAATGTTATTATTACTATTTAAAAGACTCTGTTTAGTGCCCTAGCTAGCTAGCGACCTTGGGTGTTTTGGTGAGTTCCTGGTTGTCATAGGATCATCGGTGTAGCAAGGGTTACAGCATTACCTGATAGAGTGAATGAAGCATGGCCACAGATGAACTTGAACTACACTGAGATGGAATGCACTATAATTTCAAAACTTGAATTTGCCATGCAAGTTTGTGTGACTTGCACAAGGTGAATGTCAGACATGAGAATGTTTGGATGGGCAAAGGCTCTAGAACTGGGAAGGTACTCGCTCTGCCATATTTGGGAGCCAGCACTTTGAAATTAGTGAGAGCAGACATGATGTCCTGAAGATATCCAAGTGGAACCCACATCATTGTCTCACACTGACTAGAGAAGAAGACACCCTCCAACTCGGCAGATGTTCATCAGTTAGGGCCACTTGGAGCAGTTTCCATTCTATCAGTAGTTTTTGCTGAGAGGCTACTAGCTTAGGGAAATTCTCATTCCCTGTTGCCAGAGAAACCTCCTGTATTCACTTATTGTTTTAAGAGTCAGACAAATTATGCAATACATGACTTCAGTGCATATATAACTGAATTTTTTTCTTTACCTCAACTTGATTTTATTCTCTAATTCCCATACTGTCAGGTGGAGAAAAATAATCTCAGTTAGTTCAGATGAATTTTGGTCAGGAGTTCCTCTGCTGACTTAGAGATTTATGTCCCTCCCTGTTTTTTTTTTCTGTCTTTTTTTTTTTTTTCTGGTTGCATTTAAGTTTTGGAGATGTTGGCAGCAGGGAGCAGCTGATCTTCTTACCTTCTCACGTTGTATCCAGTGACACACCTGGGTCAGGGATGGTCATGCATGGCTCCTGTGCCCTCCCTGCCTTCCTGCAGCGGTGATTGTGTGTGTGGCTCTCTCTGCAACACCTGTTTCGGTCACTCTTGCCAGCATGGAAAAACACTTTATAGACACATTCGTCTACAGGGTTGCACCTGGAACATACTGATGTGGGGGAACTCGGTGAAGCCTGCTGCCTCTCCAGCCTCCTCTTTCGACAAGGGTCCCCTTTGCATTCCAAAACGATCTCGGGTTTTTATTGGGTAACTGATACAGTGTGCAGAACTCATACCTGAAACCACACTAATAACTTACACTAATACCTTAGTTATTGCTGCCTCTTAAGCGTTCTTCTCCGCCTGAACAATATTTATCTTGTGTATGGAGGCAGGTGGGTGGGAGTCAGCTATTATGTATTTATTAATGGATGGGAGTCATTTGCATCTACAGTTTACACAAACTTTACGTCGTACTTAGAGCCTACTAAAAATGCATGCTTTTGAAACTCAAAACCCCCTTTCTCACAAATCATTGTTTTTCAGCTTTAAAAACTCTTACTTTAAACTCAGTAACCAAGAATGTTTTCTTCTCTTGTTCAGCATTTGTATTTCTGCTGTGATAGCCCTGCCCTGAGTCTGAATGGTGAGAGAGCCAAAGGGTTATAACACAACAATAATTACAAGGAACACAAAAATATAGTGCTTAATATATCAAAATAGTAACAAACTCTGACTGGCTTCTCTTCCATTGCTTTAGGAGATCAAGCCTATTGCTGGAAAAGGATCAAAGGAGAATAATGTGTAGGATATTTGGACTGAAGTTTCTTTATCTCTTTGGCTTATAAAAACAGTAACATTTAAAAAGAGTTAAGTCAGATATGCAATGCTACTGATAAATGTAATTTCAAAACTGCATTCTCTGTAACTTTTAATTTTTGATTCTGCAGCTTAACAAAGGCACTTGATTAATTGAAGCACATATAGTGTTATATAGTTATTTTAACAAAGCTTTCTCAGATGAAGAGGCATTAGTAATTATAAAATTGACTAAATATGGAGTTTGCTTTGGTTACTTGGGATGATCTCCTTAGAGGGATAGCTCTGATTCTTTATTTCATACCTACAATAGCTTCCTTTTATTTTACCAATGGATCTGAACAACTTAACACAGTACTCAGGGACAACCATGACCTGACTGGACCCCACTTCTTCAGGCTTTGCTTTCGCTCTGTCTTCATGAATCTAGTCTTCAGGGTTCCTGAACTTTTTGGAATTCGCACACTGACACAACCTTTTTCCTTCACCAGGTGGCACTCTCTTCCTCATCAGTGAACAGCTGCCCCCTTCATGCCCGGTTCTCTGTCTCTGCCCCACCTGCAGTGCTAAGGAATCTCCGGCTCTCTCATCTCTCTTTGGTGGCACTTGTTTAAGGCCAAATATCTGCATTGAAGGCCAAATATCTGCATTGCATTGCAGATATTTGGATTTTGTTGTAGTAAAAAGAGGACTAGACCCAGAAGAAGACTTGGGGTTTACCCTGTTTCAAATATCATGGCAAGGCCATTTCAATTCTCTGAGAGTCAGGTCAATCTGCGGATTTCGTAACTGCCCTTGCATTGTTTTCCATCAGAGATTTATTGGCTCGAGTTTCCACTTCCTTGTGTACAGAAATCAAGTCTCAATTTCCAACAGCATGTTGGACTCAGTAAATATTCGCTGAATCGAATAGAATGGCAGATGAGAAACACGTTTATTGATAAATCTAATGCGGCAAATGGGGGAAATAATGGTAAGTTTAGTTATTTTACTTGACTAAATAAATGTTAATGTTAATAAATTTTATCTCATTGACAAGGGGTAGGTGAGGGTTTGGTTATGGGGTCCCCTTTCCCATCCCTCCACCTCAGCCAATAACTGTCATTTCCTTCTCTTATATCTGAAGAGTAAAAGTTTTAATATTCTTAATTTGTAAAGTTAAGGGGAAGTAATATGTTGCAGTCCATAGCAAAGAAAAGGGCTGAATATTAACTACTAATTCACGTTTTATTTGACAAGCTCAGAAAGTCTTGCCAGGTAAATACCAAGTTATATCATTTTATTTCAAAGATGATAAAAATAACTCAGTTACTTGACAACCATCTAAACCTTTTCAGTTTTTCAGCAAGTGGCATTTGGTGGTGTAGTCCAGCCCCAGAACTTCAGGTTGGTCAAGATGACTTATTTCAGAGAAGACAAAAAAACTTACCTCTACCCTTCTTAGCTCATCACTTCTGCTATTCAATTTTGTGATCTTTGCTTGTGGGTACCTGAAATAGTGAGAAAGAATAAAGGAAGAAAATTAAATATAACTCTATAGCATTTTGTGAAAGGCAAATATTTACAATTTTAATTGATGACAGACACACACTTCATAAAACTAGTAGCATGCAACCCCGGCTGCAGAAACTGAACAGCAATATGCCTACGCTGGTTAGCAGCAAAAAAGTAAACCAATCACATCGACAAAAGCCACCATAAACAAAAAAACTGTATTTGAAAGATTAACAGTTTTGGCATTCATCCCTACCATCAAGTCTTTCACTTTCTTTCTTTCTTTTTTTTTTTTTTTCCATCAAAATTTAGCTTACGTTTGATGTTAGCAAGAGTTGCATTACTATTATTATTAATTTTAGTTCTGTTTATTACCTTGAGGGTTATATATTGTAAAATAATTTTGGTGCCTCTAGTTAATGTTAATTAGTTGTTTTAATAACCTATAGACCTATTTGTTATGTTTTTGTAGGTTTACTTTTTTAACTATCAGGAACTTAATAACTGAGAATATTTAACATTACTGTTGCATAGGCAAAATTACAGAGTTACTATTAGTGTTACCTGTTTAACGTTTAGTCATCCTTTGAGTCCTGCGACATATTTCCTTAATAATCATCAGCCATCAAGTCTGATAGTCTCAAAAGAAATATCAGCCCTCTAAACTGCCTTCAAGGGCGGTGATATTTAGCACTGAAAATTACAAATAAAGTTTTTGAGGTTGAATAGCAACAACTGGCCAGTGACACTGATGATTTGTTTGTCAAAACAAATTGTTATAAACTACGCAAATGAAGTCCACGCACTCCTTTGAGTGAAAACAATAAAGTGAATCTACGCAATGCTTACATGTTGGATGGGATATTTAATGTGCGGGGAAACTCAAAGGTTGAAGAACTAGGCATTTAGACAGTGGTAAGTGGTAATCTTACCTCTTTACACTCCATTACTCTTTCTCACGAGAGACATGCTAATGCAAACAAGTCAATCAGAATTTGTGTTTAGCAAGATAAAGCTTAGAGGATAGTTTAAAATCCATTTATTATTCTAAATCCATTTTTTTCCATTAACATGTTATACATTAGTGTTCACTAACCATGATTCATGTAACAGTTTAGTTTGTTAACTTTTAAATTTTTTAACAACCATAAGTTATTAATACATCTTTTAAGTATTACACAAATATCTTAAAACAGGCTTGGGTTCATTTTTGTAATTTTTAAATAGAAAACATTTTAGGCATCTCTTGAAGAAGAAATAAAGCAGACATTTAAAGCTAGAAAACAAGTAATTCCAAATTTAGTTTTTACAAAAGTTTTCAGCTTTATTGACAAATTATGGCAAACATATTTGACAAATTGTGGTTTCCTATTTAGAGAAGCTTACACATGGAACTTTATGTGTGTTTTTTTTCTCTTTTTTAACAAATACAGGTTAAAACACTGAACAAATTCAGTTAGCTACATACATACAGTAGCTGCTTGTTTTCAACCCCATTAAAACAGCATTTAAAATTAAATTTACAAACTTAATATCGAACATCTTCATCTAACTAACAGATATTAAAAGACAGGTTAAAACATCTTATCTACAACTTTATTATCAGCTAGTTCAAAAATCATATTACAGTTTTTTAGCAACCCTAAAACAAAGTTTTTGCTAGTTGATTGAGACTCAAAATCTGTCAACAGATTCATGCTCTTTCTTTAAAAAAAGAAAAAAGAAAAGAAAAAGAAAAAAAAGAAGAAAAAAAAAGGATTACACACAACAATGAAAAACAACCAAGAGAATATCATCCTACTGAATGGTTTTTAGACAATGCTTGCCAATGTCTCTTTCAGTCCGTTTGTAAAATAATACCAGTGTCAATGTCACGCCAACAGTATAGGGGAAATACAAGAAATATATGGGAGTAATCATGAAAAGTTATCCCTAGAATAGGAAAAAAAAAAAAGGACTATTACTTGTCGAGTTGCTGTTTATGCAGAGACCACAGGCTATGAATTGTCTTTGAGGTGAGGTCACGGGTGAGGAGGACCTTCAATATCTACCATAGGGGTGCTCCCTGTATCCCCCTCTGGCTGACCTTGGTGGCGGTGCCTTCAGGCTGGAGCGGGTCGTGGCCCATTCTTCTGGTGCTAAGAACAAGAGAAAGACAATAGCATTCACGTGGCTTCACAGTAATCAGAAATCGTCATTGAAGACACAATAGTCAAGCAGAGAAAAGAGAATAAAAGATCTCAGCCCTGACAGCTCAAGCCTTACTACATGTTCCACATAGTGAGACACTCCAAAAAGAAAAGTGGATGTTTTGAAACGCAGCCACTTGGAATTAAACTTGCAGGACATTTTTCAACAGGAGAAAGTTAAAGTTCTTGGGTAACTCCACATTATTGTATTAAATTTCTATACCACAAAAGAGGAATGGAACATTAGTGCAAACCGCTTCATATTTAATCCTTTATGTAGACTCCTAAAAAAAAAAAAATCGGATATAGAAAGGTTCTCAGGCCTTGATTAACTTGAGGATCACCTGGGAATCTTAAAATGAAATAAAACAAAACCAAGAATGACTTATGCTTGTTCTCTGTATCCCCAATCAAATGACTGGAAAACTCTGTAGGGTAGCACCTAGTGTTTGGTATTTTTCAAATGCTTCCCTAGATGATTTTTATTTTATTTTATTTTATTTTATTTTATTTTATTTTATTTTATTTTATTTTATTTTATTTTATTTTATTTTATTTCTCACCCGAGGATACTTTTCTATTGATCATCAGAGAGAGTGGGAGGGAGGGGGAGAGAAGGAGAGAGAAACATTGATGTGAGAGAGACACATCAACTGGTTGCCTCTCATACAACCTCAACCAGGGCTGGGGACAAACCGCAACTGAGATACAAGCCCTTGAGCAGAATCAAACTTCGACCCATAGGTCCGCCAGCCGAGGCTCTAACGGCTGAGCCAAACCGGCCAGGGCAACCTAGATGATTTTTATAGTCCCAGATTGAGATCCATTGTACAAATCTGTTCTTTACACATTTGTTAGAAATAAGCAGGATATGGAGAAGAGTAAATTTTAAGTAGCAAACTTGATAAAGAAAAAAATCTCATTAGTTTTTAAAAATAAAAAAGTTAGAAAATAAAAAGGTATTAATAGGAAATCTCCTCATTTACCCATTAATCGGACTTTCAGCAACCTCAGTGTTTTGGAACCTAGCCAACATATAAAAAACAAGCAACCAAACTTTTGAGTACTATGGAAAATAGCATTTGTAAAATGTGTGCCCCCAGAAGAGAAATACAACCCTCCTTCAAAGGGCCACGGACTTCATATTGGGTTTGTGGTGACTGATGAGATTCCAGAAACTAGGTTCTCTGGTCTTTCAAACAGAATGCAATTCTCGAATAGAGAGCAGGCTTCATGCATGGGGCTACAGAGGGAGGAGGTTTGGACTTAAGAGCAATTACTTGAAAGAGGCACATTGATATTGATAGGTCATATAAAAGATGGTGGTAATGGCAATATCTCCCAGAAAATCGCTGCAGGCAGAGGTCACCTGATGTGGTAAATGGCCCCAGATGGTTCCAGTACCCCCAAGACTATCGCTAGCAAAAACACTAAGAAACATTGGACTCGCCCTCACTATACTGTAGGGCAAGGGATAACAATCTACATCACAGAAAAATGATCAAAACTTCATCAGTGTAGACATAAATACCGTTTACCGGCTCTCCTTCACTGCAAAAATCTTTATTATAATGATATCTGGTGATAAATGAAAAATGATGTCTTTCACTATTTAAGGTTCATGCTTATGTTTATTTCAATATGTGATATGGCATACAATAGAAGTGAGCGCCAAAGTAAATATGAGACATGTTACCTTTACTCAGAATACAGACCACCTAGATCAGGCAAACTATGGCTGGTCAGCTGCCTATTTTTGTAAATCAAGTTTTACTGGAACACAGACATAATTATTTACTAACACGCTCTTTATGGCTGCCTTCTCTCTACAAAGGCAGAGCTGAGAAAATGTGACACAGACCACACGCTGCCTGCGAAACCTAAATTAGTTCCACTCTGGGCTCTTATAGAAAAGGTTTACAGACCCTGCTCTAGATCCTCTTGTCTTTTTTTGGTGTGAGGTTGTGGGTGTTGGTCTTTTAGATGTGCTCTCTTGAGGAAGGCATTCACCTCCCAGCTGCCAGAATTTCTCAGTATAGACATTTTGAAGAAGAATTTTATGTATGTACGTGATTGAAATTAAGTCAAACTGTCTTTGATGTACCAGAATGGAAAATGAATTTTTGCTTACTAGTTTGAAAGTGCCTTCTTAGCTTTATGTAATAAAAATGTCATGCTTTGTCTATGAATAATCAAATATATGTCAGTGTCCTTGCCCACTAGTGGTAAAATCGACCCCACTTGATTTCTGCTTTTAACAAAGGGGATGTCTTGCTTTGTCTTCGTTTGCTCTGGAGTGTTTGAGCTCTTAGGGTGGGAGTCTCTGGGATGTAGAAGCAGAGATAACATAGGCATCTAGTTTTTCCAGGGTATGAACACTCTGGGTCCTTCCTTAGATGCTCTATGTTCCTGCAAGTTTCTGCAACATAGCGAAACAACCTTGAGCAGAGTGATAGCAACACTGGCCACATCTACCCCCAGATCTGTCAGAACTTCTAAACTAGCATAATCTTGGGGATTTGCCACAGAACACGTGTTTACAATGGACTCATAAACTTGGCATTACTTGACCTTATCTAAAGCTCTAGACCAGTGGTTCTCAACCTTTCTAATGCCGTGACCCTTTAACACAGTTCCTCATGTTGTAGTGACCTCCAACCATAAAATTATTTTTGTTGCTACTTCGTAACTGTAATTTTGCTGCTGTTATGAATTGCCATCGGAAATATGTGCTTTCCAATGGTCTTAAGCGACCCCTGTGAAAGGGTTGTTCGGCCCCCAAAGGGGCCATGACCCACAGTTTGAGAACCGCTGCTCTAGACAATTAGCTGATGGACTAAATCTTACATTTCTTTTTTTTCCTTTTTTAATGTTTTTATCGAGTTTTTAGAGAGAGAGGAAGAGAGCAGGAGAGAGAGGAACACCGATGTGAGAGAGAGATGTGTATTGGCTGCCTCCTGCACGCCCCCTACTGGGGATCGAGCCTGAAACCCAGGCATGTGTCCTGACCGGGAATTGAATCAAAACCTCTTGGTGCACGGGACAACACTCAATCTGCTGAGCTTCACTGGCCGGGCTAAAGCCTTACATTTTTTAACTGTTGGCCAACATTAAAATGGGAAATGTCACTGTTCAGTGGTATATCCCAAGAGCCTGGAAAAAACACAGCACTAAATAGGGGTTGAATGCAATGAAGATTGTACAAATGAATGATCAACTCTAGGAACTAAGAGGCTGAAAGAGCTTCCAATGGCAACCTGGAAATCAGTAATGACTGAGCTGAAGAAGTTCAGCATTAATTTTTATTTTATTTTATTTTATTTTATTTTATTTTATTTTATTTTATTTTTTATTTTTTTATCCTCACCCGAGGATATTTTTCCATTTTTTGTACAGATAGAGTGGGAGGGAGAGAGAGGAAGGGAGAGAGAGAGAGAAACATCGACGTGAAGGGACACATCGAGTGGCTGCCACCCACATGACCAACCAGGGCCGGGGACAAACTGCAACCGAAGTACGTGCCCTTAGCGGGAACCGAACCCGGGTCTCTCCAGACAACAGGCGGATGCTCTAACCGCTGAGCCAAACTGGCCAGGGCTAATTTTAAAAGCTCTGTAACTAGAAATCTTAGACATAAGTTGAAGTCAGACTTCTTACTCAAGAGGGTTAATTAGCACACTGAAAGTATTTACTACTGAATTCAATGAAACAATCAAAGTGGAATCCTATTACAAAACGGTGTAAGAACATTATGTTTATTGCACAAAAGTGTGCTCTTCTATAGTTCTATGTATGCAAATTAATTCTATACTCTTTTCTTCTTGAAAAGACTAGAAAAATGGGGAATACTGTAAGTCTACCATAATTGTAACCAGAAAGTCAGCCAAAATGAATTTCCACACTGGTGAAGTAAGTTTTAGATTTTCTAAGATTTTTTTTTACCATTAGTAGAGAAAATAAAGTATTTTTTCACTTAATTCAGATCTTGGGTCCACTGTTTATATGTTCTCAATAGTGAATTGAGATCAGGAAAGTATTTTTTCTATTTTTGCAAATTTTCCTTGGTCTATATTCTTTCTAATATCATGGTGCTTATATGCAATATAGCCACTCATGTTATCCTATGATAATGCAAGCCAGCCTGTCTTGGTGAATTTATTGTCTTTGATCTGCACTGAATGTTTGTTCTTTGTTATCATACAGTGTGTCATTGGTACTTATATGGTTGTCCAGCCCCCTTAAAGCTCAGCAGATGCTCTTGGATGTCTTCACTGTACAGGGTGGGGCAAACATAGGCTTACAGTTGTTCATACAGAAAATAATACAATAATTAATAAATAATAATGCAAGGATAAACTGTGTTCTCACATACTTGCAACTGTAAACCTGTGTTTGCCCCACCCTGTATCAGAGATAGAAGTGATTCTTAGACATCTGAATGAATTTTAATGTGAGTCCACCATGGAACCTTGTACAAGGAAAAAATCCAAATGCAGGAAGAGACAAAGTATTATAAATTCCTCATAGTGGGAATTCTCTAAAATTTGACGTTATAAAGGCCCAGAAATGCACTTAGAATCTATCTGTCTTCTTGGGGTTCTCCTGTTCAGCAGACAAGGTAGATTTAAAATATTTTAGGGCCTCATACAAATTTTGGAGTCATGGCCAATTGTCTGTTCTCATGAGGCAGTCAAGGATGTCATTAAAAAACATATTGCGTACAATGAAATCTGGAGATAAGCTTTCGTTGTCCTCTTGGAAATGATAAAGGAAGTGAGATGCTCTCAATCAGGGTTCTTGTCATAATGAGACATACTAGCTAGCTAATGCCTGCACATCGAGCCAATAAAGATGTTGTTACTTAGCCCTGGCCGGTTTTGCTCAGTGGTTAGAATGTCGGCCTGCAGACCGGAGAGTCCTGGGTTTGGTTTGTCCCTGGCCCTGGTTGG